GATCTTAGATTTCAAGACTTGGGGTCAGAGTTTGGGGTCCAGAGTGTAGGGTCCAGGATTTGGGATGCGCCCACAGCCTCAACGGGTGAAGTCCGAAGATCTGAAAAGCAACCCCTGAACCCCGTTTTCGGACTGCGGTTTAGGATTTAGGGATAAGCAGAGGTCATGGTGATAAGTTGTCATGCATAAATTGGACCACTGGCAGCTAAACGTGTCGCCTTGACTACGGAGATTCTTATATTAGGGGCTTTGAGGAAAGGGGATTGTCTTATTCAGGGGATAGACATCCTGTTCTGGTCATGAAGCCCCCGAACCCGGAAAGGAAGGAACCCGAAGCCCTAAGTCCTAGACTTTTAAGGGAGCCTTCTTAAAGGCGTAATGGATTTTCACAGTGGTTCTTGGAATCTAGGTCTTAAGTCCAGGACTTGCGGGCTGGAGCTTAGGAAGCTGGAGCACACGGGAGGGAACACTTAGGGTCTAGGGGTTTCGGATCGGTCCAGTACCACGATTTCTCCCGTAGCCCCTGATGCGCCCCAAACTCCTAACTGCCCTCGAATCGTCTACAAGATGGAGAGCCTGCACGGCCTAAAGCCAAAACGCTCAGCCCCAGTTTTTTAGGATCCTCCACAACGAGCCAGCGGCACGCCCAGGATTTTCAACTTCGCTGCGGCCGTGCATGCGCTGCAACGGGCGCTGCCGTTCAAAGGCCTTCTTATCATACGATAATTAAGAGAATTCCTACTATGCAAAATAGTTCTTCTCTCTACCATGTCTACTATTTCATTGTTCCGTGCATCCTGGGAGCCGTGTTTGATCGGCTGCAGATGCTGAGGGCTTCGGAAGTCCAGGTTCGAAGTGATGTTGTTCAGCCCCGAATCTGGAGGTCCAAGCATTGAGCCTTACACCCTGACTGTGACATGATGCACGTTCGCTACAGAGCTGTTTCTGATCACAGCTAGAGAGACAGTCCTGTAAGTTTTTTGGATCCGCCGCAAGCGCCATGGCTTCAGCATCCGCAGCAGAGGAGACGAGCTACGACTTGTCAGAGCCGGAAGCTTTACTCGGCTTCCTCGAAGATGCCGGCATCCGCCTGGTGCGCCTCGAGTACCTGATCGAGCTCTCTGCCTCCGGGAGGCCGTTGCCTCGCCGTCAAGAGGCGGAAAAGGAGACGACCAGCTCAGGGGCGCCGGCGCTCGTAGAGAGCAGCGAGCTCAGAGAAGTGAAGATTGACCCCGATACCGCCCACATGTCCGTGATGCTCCGGCACCCGGTGCCCAGACGGGTCCGAGTCCACCTTGTCTCCATCAGCCACATGTGGGAGAGCATGCAGCATCCGGATCCGTGGAGGTTCGGGCCTCGGGCGGGAAAATTCTGGGACTGTGTCGTAGGAGTAGATCTGCAAATCGCAGTGTGATTAATGTCGTGCTGCCCTTGCGTGCGAGGTTCCAGCTGAATGCCATCGTGGAGGAGTTCCGTCCCCGGCTGCTGGATTCCGTCGTTTGGATCTTCTACGACTTCCTTTCCTTGCATCAATACGCCAGAAGCGAGGATCAGGAGAGACTCTTCCGCCGGGCACTTTGCGACATTTTTGTCATGTACTCCCACGATGGAAGTCCATCGCATTGAGACGTTGACTCCGGAGAACGTTCGAGAGAGGTGTGTGGCAGCACCCGGAGCCACAATCTTCGTGTTCTGGAAGGAGGAGCAGCAGATGACGGACGTGCTTATCACTGAACTCAAGTTGAACGGGACGCCTTACGAGGAACGAGGCTGGTGCAGGTCCGAGAAGGAATGGTCCGCTTTGCGGACTTGGATAAAGGGCGAAAGTCCGGTGCCGCTTCCACCAGACATGTTCCGTGCCCGGATGCAGCAGATGAAGTTTACACACAGGGAGGATACGGAGGAGGTCTTTAAGCTCCAGGCGAAGGTCTTCCACCAGAAAGCCGCGTCCACGACCAATCTCCTCATCGAAAACCTGACTGCCGAGAAGATCGAAGTTCTGGTTGCAGCTCTGCCTTTCTACACCCAGCTCAAGGAGCTCGTAGCCAGGGGAAGCCCGGAGAATGTTTGGAAGGTGGCCATGGCCGTGGTGGAATCTGGTGCCTGCAACGTCGAGATCGTCTGCGAGAATGTGCGGGACGAAGATGCGAAAGATTTTGCGACCGATTTGTCCAAGGAGAAGTGCAGTCACTTGGAACGGCTGCACCTCAAGTGTGAGACGATTGGTGAGCTAGGTAGGCAAGCCCTCGAGCAGATGATGACACGCCGCACGGCGAGTCTAGAGATTAGCATCCCAGGCCCCGGTCGGAGCTATGTCGGGCAGGGGATCGAGCCGGCGGTGGCCTCGGAGACTTGCGCGACGCTGCGCATCCTTGTCTGCAAGCGTAGACAACCCCCAGACTCCCCAGACCTCGGCCCGGTGGTGGCCGTGGCTGC